CTCATAAGTGGGTGTTAGACATAAAAAACCAGCTTACAGTTCACAATCCCAGAGAACCTAGACAACAATGAGAACCCTAAGAGAGACATATATGGATCTGATCTGCATGGGAAGTAGCAAAAGAAAAGATCTGAGTAAATTGGGAGAGTGGGGATCATAGGAGAGAGCAGAAGGGGAGGGGATGTAAGGGAGGGGAGCAGAGAAAAAAATATAGCTCAATAAAAACAATAAAAAGAAAGGGTGATGAGTTTTCTTTTGTGGTATTTTGTTCAGCTTATCAAATCAGAACCATGGGGATCATTCATTTTAACGAATCAGTGTTCCCAATAAAGTCATCTTTTACCAGTCTGTGAGCTGGCACATCATAGGTTATGATTTCTGCCTTTTTTTTTCTATAATTTGCTGAATCAGAATGCTCCAAAATCTGACTTTACCTGTGGAATTACAGCAAAGAATTCGATTGTCTAGCAGTAGCCAGTGACTTCAATGTTCCCTTCATTCTAGTGCCCTGGAAATTGTGAAGCATTTAGCCTCTTTCTCCCACATATTTTTTTCCAGCAGAGTTTTAGGGAAAATTTTTAGTGCAATATGAAATTCTCCAATGAAGGATTTGAGAACATAGAAGTAAGTCTCAGGGATAGAGCTATCTGGGGTGGAAGAAGATTTTTATCCCATCCTCCCATCATCCCTAATGTCTTTACTTAGATCTTTAGCCTTTTTACACTTTGAAAAAAATATTTATTCAAAGATCCTCTAACTAAAAATAATATGGACAGCATTATTGTACCTTCACCTGTCACTGAGGCACCATAACACCATACAATGGATATTAATAAGGATTTAAAACGAAGTGAGATTGTAGCGCATGGGCATGGTGGCACACACCTTTAATCCCAGCACTCGGGAGCCAGAGGCAGCCTGATCTCTGTGAGTTCGAGGCCAGCCTGGTCTCTAGAGTTTCAGGACAGCCAAAAATACAGAGGAACCCTGCCTCAAAAAAAAAAAAGTAGGGGGGAGAGGTATCGCCTGGTATTTATCATCCAGTACTGACTTTACCCTCTGGTAGAGAGGAGAGATTTGTATCAGCACCTCTTTGGAGCAGTGCTTTTATCCCAAGGGAAGCTTTGCAGCCCTATGCACAGTTGATGTGGGAATTTCCATAATTTCAGGGCTTCTGTGACAATGGATTACTTCCTGGGGCAATTAATAAGTTTCTGAGATGAATACAAACCTTGCATTCAAGCTGTCTGAGGATTATTGACTGAGTGATTGAGCCGCGGATGAAGACAAAACACATTTGAAATCTCTGTGCTTCTCAGCGAGCTAGCTCAGCAGTGGGTTGGGCAGCCACACTGAGGGCTGAACTGGAGTTCTTCCTTTATTCACAGAACCAGTTCTCTAAAGCCGGCTGCAGCGCAGGCTTGCGCGCAGTCCCCGGCCGGCCTGCTTAAACCCTGACCTGGAGGGAGCAGCTAAGGGTGAGAATGTTGATTCCCTCTCCATGTCCATCTCATGTTTGGTTAGCTAGGGCTGGCCATGCATGCTGGGGTCGGTCCTGGGATTTAATTATCTAATTAAATTATCTCCCAGCTTAGAGACAAACCCATGTTGTCTGGCAACCCATCTATTCAAAGCCCCTATGAAAAGTATAGGAGCTAGACACATTTGGATTCAAAACCACATCACTTAGCAACTTGTCCGGCCAACAGTCTGTTAAGATTCAAGAACATAGAAAGGCCACACCATGTTTCCGAGACAATGCCTCAGCAACTGCAACCCTCATGGAAGCAAGTCTTCTCTGAAAACAAATACACATCTATCTTACTTAGAACAGTTCTCTTAAAGGTGAAGATCCTATATGCAAATCAGAGACAAGACTTTTGAGGCCCTTTCGTTTTGTTTCTGAGATTCCAAGGAGGAGGGTGTTTGTCTTTATCTGAGAATTCTTTCGAGGTAGGTTCTTAAGCAAATTTGGCTACACCTCCCTCATTTCTGCTGAGAAAATAAAATGAAAAGGATATTTTAAACATTCAACATGGTCATTAAAAGTATAAAATATAGCCTTTTATTATTAATCTGCAACACCAAGTGCATGAGTTTAATAAATTTTACAGGGAGTCCAAACCTTATTGCCTGGACTACTCGACAGAAAGCTATTTTGCCAACTACCTGTTGCTCTTGGTTGTTTCTGGTCTCAGATCAGGAACAAAGACAGTCTAGAGTCCCTACGTGCAAGGCCTTCCATATAAGGAATATAGATGTTACTCTTTTTACAGTCCAAGGCAGTACACCATGTATTTTACAAGGGGCTTCCCACATGTACCCACTTCCTCTATGGTACCTACTTCCCTGGCTGGAATGTACCAATGGGGGTAAACCAAAAAGGGACAAGGCCCCTCTCCTTTTGATCTGGTCAGATCCAATCAAAGCAATGAACATGGCAGAAATAGTGGTAGAGCAACAGGAGCTAATGTTTCAATTATTCTTGATCACCCTTTTGTTTTCTTTTCACCAAACCATTAAACATGATATTGCCTGTTCTGCACTTCCCCCAAAAAGCAATGTAAGTATAATTCCCGCCTGCACGCCAGGTCCATTACAAGTGTCAGAGGCATGTTGCAAAAGTATGTATAGTGGAACAGCGTCCTCGGAAGGAATCTGAGAGGTGGCAAGAAGGCAAACAATGGGAAGGGTGACAAGCTTAGTTTGCGGTATAAAATATACAGATGCCCTGTAAGTGTCCATGTGGCAGCTCATACAGGGCACCATGTCCTCCGAGCCTTTTAACCCTCATAGCAGGCAGAAATGCACTATTTCTTAGGACCTCATGGTTACACAGGGCAAAAGAAAAACCCACTCCTACTGTGGAAACCTATAATCGTCCCAATATGAAGACTTGAGAGAGATGACTTCCCTGTGCTCTCTCATTTATGCTCGTTACTCCTGGCTGAATGAACATTTGGATTTTTCTCTTCTACATTTTTGGGAAGATATGTGTAAGACTTGAGCCCAAATGTTTATGGTATCTGTGAATTAAGATGTGACCACTTCCAAAACTCTCCTCCAAATAAGAGGAGGCAAAATCCAAGTTATACATTGTTTCAGTTGGGCTCATGAATTAGGCAATAACTTGGACACTCCTTAAAATATCCCATAAAAAAAGACTATGGTTTTCCACTAGTAGGTATACAACCATGACTTATTCTGATCGAATAGAACGAAGACATTTTCATTAATGGCTGGAAAGAAAATATCAACTAAGCAATGGAAACTAATGAAATCAGCTGAATAATATGATCTATAGTTCTTCTGATTCTGAGCTGAAGTCTGTGTTAGCTTAATGCATTCACTTCTTCTCATGTGTATAACAAGCCTTTCCCAAGAAGAGCCACGTCTCATGACAATAGCAACTGTCCAGTCTGTTTGAATTTGTGTTTCCCTACCTAGAATTAAGGAAATATTTTTCCCTTTAATTATATGCGGTTGTTAGCGTACACCACCCCTTTCCAGCAGAAACAGTTAAGTTCTTCTGATTGCTTTTCCCTTCAAATTTACTGGAGGCCCACACATCTGGAAAATTATCCTCATGGCTGTCCTTTGGCTCCTGCCCATAAGATTGTGTGATATCAGTTCAAAGAGAAGGCAGGCAGAGGTCTATGTGGGTAGGAAATGTCCTTAGCAAAAGTGCCAGAGTCTGGCTACTGAGGTGACAGGCATGACATATCACAAGTGTCAGGATGTTTTTCCCCTGGGTACTCACCCTTGCTGGCAGCCTAAGCTAAAGCTAAGGTCCCTATGAATCCACTTCCTTCATTTTGCATGACAAAAACCATTTTGGCTAGGAGAGGATTGCACTGTGTGTTTACCTTCTTTAGGACCGCAAAGTACTTGTTTTGATAACTGTAGCAAATGGAAAGCAAAGAGCAGTAAAGAGAAGCAAATAGGGTGGGGAGGGGGAGGCAGAAGCACACTGTGAAACTTTTAATCAATCTTTGATCATTTCCCTTTAAGATGTCAGGGCCACTGTTTTGAGGAAGGTAGAAAATAAAGATGGTTCCAGGTAAGACTTTGCCCAGTTCACATGTTCCTGGTATTCTCATTTTCCTGTTCCATTTACATGTTCACTGTTATTTCTGTTGCTATGACAACTCATATGTGCATATGATAATAGTATGTGAGATAATGCCATAGATTACTCAGCAGAAATCCTCTTGCCTTGCAAATTCCTGTTCAGTGTATTTAAATACACTGGGTTCTTAATGACTGCCATGTATTTATATTTTTAGCCGCCTTTTCATACAAAAACATATAGTCACACTGGTAGTATCACTGCCTTCATCACAGGAAGAATACATTGATTTTTTAAATATGCCGCAGGAAAAGAAAAGTTTTTCTTAAAACCACAATAAACTGTAAGTCTGGGTTACTTTTAATTCGGAGACTGAAAAAGGCAAAAAAGAGTCATCTGGGTTATTTTTCTTTTCCTTGTTTAATAGATAGTGACCTTCCCAGGGTTTAACTCTTAACTTTAATCAGGCATCACTCCGTTTTAGGCGCTGTAGCAATGCAAGGTGTTGACAAGGCTCCATCTCTGTTTGTGTCCTGTTTCTGTTCAATCTGTTACATTTTACTGCTGTTACATTTTATTCGCCAAGGCTACTGGCAGGCAGTGTTGGTGAACACAGGATTGTGTGTCTCCACCCTTCTAGTTGACCTTTGTTTTCTAACATTTGTTAGGTTTTACTGCTCTCTGCTGGTTGAGCTTTGGCAACTACAGCAGATCATTAGTTCATCATTTGCAGGCTGACATTGTTGTGTTTTAGTGCCATCGTGTGGTCATCTTATGGAAACGCTTTCACATTATTGATGGAGATGTGTTGGAGCATTGCTCAAAGTCTTCTTGTTTCAGCCTCCATGTCCATGTCCTTGAATCTGCCATTGGCAGCTGAGTGATGTTTCAATCTGACCATGCTTACAGACCTCTAATTGTCTTATGCCAGGAGCCCTGACATGCTGCAGTCGGAGGACGTTTCCTTTTCCATGGGAGGGAGGCATTCATCTACAGATTCCAACAAGGCCTCCAGCGGAGACATCTCCCCTTATGACAACAACTCCCCAGTGCTGTCTGAGCGCTCCCTGCTGGCTATGCAAGAGGACAGGGCCCGGGGGGGCTCGGAGAAACTTTATAAAGTGCCAGAGCAGTATACATTGGTGGGCCACTTGCCATCGCCAAAGTCGAAGTCAAGAGAAAGTTCTCCAGGACCAAGGCTTGGAAAAGGTAACTGAAGCCTGGCTGTGACAGCTCAAATATCTGCCCTCTTGTGGCATGTTACATGGGGTGGGTCAATTTGGACCTTCTTCATTGGGCCTTTGTTTGATGTTTCTTCAATTCAAAGAACATTTACTGAGTGTCTGCTACATGCTCAAGGTAGGAGAAAAGAATGGTGGCCCCGATGTTGTTGCAGAAGGTCTATACAACTTCCGATTCTCAAATATCTGTCAAGTGAGCGAATGCCCAAAGGAGCCACTCATTTTCCCAACTTACTTTCTCCTTTTAACATCCAGGGGAGTCTACGACCCTGCTGGTGGATTTGCATTGCATAGCTGCTGGTCTACGATGTCACTCAATTGATTTCTATCACCTTCATAAAGAAAAGGTTCTGACCCTATCACATAACAATGCAATATCTAGAACCAGGCAGTGACGAAAACCCCAGACTAAAAGTCAAAAGAATGTCCTGCCACTTCTAGCTTGCAGGATCTTGAAAGAATAATCAATCTACACGGAGGCCTATGGACTCCTGATAACTAAGAATGGTACCTATGGATCTCATGTATTGGATTTCATCAATGAATCTACATGCAGTTGTTATGGCAACACTTAGCATGGAATAATCCCTGGCTAATCTGTGCGCCCTAACCTGTAGGCACTTCTGATATTTTGTTACTATGCATTTGGTCTGTCTCATGATCTCCTCTAAGGAATGAAACAAGGCATACTTCACAGAAACTAACAAACATGTGGAGACATCCAGTAGACCTCTGATTCCAAGTCCTAACGATAGTTCCAGCATAGCCTTGGAAGGAGGAAAACTTGAGCTGGCTAAGACATCTACTAGAGCATCTTGCTCCATAACTACATATGCCCTGGTTGGGGGAAAAGGGAGGAGAAAGAAACACACACAGGAACCAATCTGCTGATGCCAGTAGGGTAGTGTCCCTAAGGGGATTCAGAAACCAGCACTATCGTCCCTGTACGTCTGTTCCTGTAGCCGGAGCCCATGTGGCTATCACCAAGTGCCCCCATGGATGAGTTCCCTACTACCATTGTCACTCACAATGAGAGCAACACACAGATTAGACCTCTTATGATTTGGGGTGTCAGAAATAGGATGGGTGCACAGGGCTTCCTTCTGTTCAGGAGGATCTGGGGAGGAATTGTTGTCTCCGGCCCTCTGCTAGCTTTTGTAGGCCTAGTCTCAGGCCTGCTCCTTCCATGTCTGAAGCCACCAACACAGCAGCATCTTCTCTCTCGCCTCCCTCTTATAGGTACCCCTTTTGATGATATTAGAGCTGCCCAGATCCTCCAGTAATCCTCAAGAACAAGGGGGGTATGCAAAGTTTATTTTTCAAGGTTATGGGGGTTACGATATAGATTTCTTTAGTGAATATTCATTCTGTTTCTCAGAAACATGATGTAGAAAGAGCACTTTTGTCCATCTCCAACAGAAACAAACTTCCCAGAAAGCAGGCCCACATAGTATTGTTTTGCATCTAGTACAGCCTCGAATATGGTATTTTGTGCCAAAAATGTAATGATATTATTTTTTGATTTCATGCTTAATTATTTCTGTTGTGCACCCTTTTATCTGCTTTCCTAGATATGTCTGAGGAGCCTTTCAATATCTGGGGAACTTGGCATTCAACACTAAAAAGTGGCTCCAAGGACCCCGGAATGACAGGTAAAGTACCGTTTTTCAACTTCATTGCACTTACCTAAGAAAAGGATCATCCCTAACTCTTAGCTGCTATTCTCGTGGTAACTGCTTGCCAACCACTATTCAGAAAATACTGAAGAGAGGAAAAAGAGGACAAAAAAAATCTCTCCTTGGGCTCTCCTCCCCAATCGCTAAGCTTGGACACTAATCCACTGCTCTTCTTTTCCTGAAGCCTAAATTGTCAACAGGGCAGTTTATGTAGTTTGGCAGCTCAGTTAAGCCTGGGAGAGTCTAGGAGTGGCCACACAAACAGGCGCCACTATCAACAAGAACCTGCCACTGGTCTTGCTAGGAAGATTTTCTTCCCAGGTAGCTGAGAGGCTGCTGTACTTTTGCAGCAATAGAAGCAGCAGTGAAAAAGAAAAGAGCAAGGCACTAATGCTCAAGGCAATTGTCCAAACTAACCCCAGGTCTTGCTTTTCTGGTTCCAGGTTCCTATGGAGACATTTTTGAAAGTAGCTCCCTGCGACCGAGGCCCTGTTCCCTTTCTCAAGGGAACCTATCCCTGAATTGGCCTCGATGTCAAGGGAGCCCCACAGGGCTGGACAATAGCACTCAGGTCATTCGGAGGACTCAGACGGCGACCACTGTGGCACAGTGCAGTGTCCACCTTCCTGTGTCGCGTGTCTGCAGCACTCCCCACATCCTGGGTGGTGGCAGGGGGTCCAGGCGGCCTGCAGCCAGGTCTGAGCCATTCTTGTCCCTAAACAGCACAGAAGACATGGCCGAGGGCGAGGTGGAAGTGTACCAGAGACCTCAGCCTGTGTACCAGAGACCTCAGGAGAGTGGCAGAGATGACAGGCGCCCCCCTCCTCCTTACCCAGGATCAGGGAAGCCTGCCGTGACCTCGGCCCACCAGCCCTCTGAGCCTCCCCTGTGGAGGCTCCAGAGGCATGAAGATTCGGGAACAGCCGCAGAAGGAGGCCAACAGGCCTCAGGAAAGCATCCGGCCAGACCAAAAAAACTGAGCAGCGCCTATTCCCTCTCAGCCAGTGAGCAGGAGGACAAACAGAACTTGGAGGAGGCCAGCTGGCTCGACTGGCAGCGAGAGCGGTGGCAGATTTGGGAGCTCCTGTCAACTGACAATCCCGACGCCCTCCCAGAAACCCTGGTATGAGCCCACCCGCCAGCAGCTGAAGCCCACCCTCCAAAAACCATCCTTTTCCGGACCAGACCCGGGAAACTTGCCGATGGACAATTGGACAATTACTCATTTTTCTTTTTCTTTTTATTTTTCCACACGTTGAAAAATCAACACAAGAGAAAGTCAGTCCACTTACAGAAAAGCCCTCCTACCCTTACCATTTATTGTAAAATCCTATTGCATAGCCAGCCTTAGGAAAACAAACAAACAAACAAACACGACAATACCCAACCTTAAAACTACCTACATTGGCTCTATATAAGGTCAAACTCTTGCTTCAATATAGCTTAATTGTATTTGTGTCTTCAATTTTGACTATTGTGTATTCTGTAACAGATTAGATGTGATAATATGATATATTCACCGAAAAGACAGAACAATTAAAAAAATCACTGCACTTATATTACACCATGAGATATATTAAGCAGCAAAATTCTATAGAATATTCTAGAATATGCACAAGCGGGTTTCTGTGCTTTTTGCCATCGCTTTTTCACGGGACAGTCTTCCCTTCAATGCCTAAGAACAATACTAACCAAGCAGAACAGAAACTGAGAAGCCATATTTTTGTACGGAACTGAGAAACAAAAGTTTTAGACACTGAATGCTTTTTCATAGTGAACAAGTTTTAAGGAAATATTAAATTTGATACGTTGAGAAATATATTTTTAGAAACTGTTTAGAAAGAACTCAGCAAACCAAAGGAGAGAAAAGCAGTGCCTAACAGTACTTAAGAACATGTCCATCACATTCTAGATCAAATTCAATTCTTCATAGGCCACTTATAATACATATTTATAATATGGAACTTTGATGTATTTTTCAAAACTACAAACTGGAATCTAACTACAAAAAGTTTTAAAATCTGAATACACATTCAAATTATACAACCTCATTCCCCCCTCTGCCCTATTATATTAGCTCAATTACAAACAATTCTCTGTAAATTAAATCCTATCGGGGGAGGGGGCAAAAAACAGCTACATATTCGCGCTTACAATATGCCAAAGGCTGAAAAATGTGTCTTCAGTAATTTTATGTGTATTGTAACGTGTTACTACTACCTTACTTCAGCAATTTGAAGTGTTACAACTGCAAAACCACTTTTGACCAGCAGGTGGCAGTTTGCTTCAGTATTTTCTGATTCATTTCCCATCACAACAGTGTACGATGTTAACAAAGAGAGTTATATATATATAACGTGTTACTCTTAATTGTCATGTTGGCAATGAAATTTTTCTGTGGTGTTCCTTAAAATTCTATCTTGTGCCATGATGAATAAAAAAGTTAAGCAAAGTGTCACCAGCCTTTAACTCTAATGAAGGAACGCACCCATTTCAGACAGATAATTCACTACTCACAAGTTCAAATGCGTTACATGTTGGCAGTTCCATAAGAGCTTGTTTTTAAAATAGCTGGTAGCCTGGGGACATCAAGTCGGTGATACGGAAATATGTAGAAATCTATAGTGATAAGTTCAATTAAAGTCTGGTTTTCTTGTCACAGAGAAAGTGATTTCACACCTGACTGAAATTTGGATTGTGCGCCTCCTGGGTAGGTGTATCTCAACATGGTTGTTAAAAATTGTGTCTGCTCTACAGGACTCAGATGCCTAATTGGTTCCAGATACGGCGTGTGGTGCTACGTACCTGGGGACAAGTTGAATGATTTTTGGGCTCAGTCACTAGGCTCAGAACACTGGGTATTGGTTCAGAACATGGAAGATTTGTATGACGATCTCAGTTATTCCTTATAGACTCCACTAAGACCAAAGATAAATATAGGACTTACAGCAAATGCTACTTGACTGTAGCACTCTTGAAGCTTTTCTATGCCACTCACCTTTATTCCAAACCCTTGAATTTGATCACGGCCTGACAAATTCTTTCTCCTCTTGTGAACTTCCTGATTCCTGGACCTCCTTCTTACCATGTTTATACTGTCAAAGTTATGTCACTTAAATCCTTTATAACAAATGAACCAAATGAACATACATACATGCATACACATATATGAAAGGTATATCCACCAGTTACTAGATCTAAATTTGACAGTGAAGAAAAGAGCTCAATAGTCATGTCCCTATTTCTTTGTTCATTTCTGTTCTGTGCCCACATCCTTCACTTCTTTGGTGAAAGTTTGTTTCTTCGATGCCTTTATCTCATTGCAAATATGCCACTTTTCAAACACACAGGAGGCCTCGAAAGATGGCTCAGTGAGCAAAGTGCCAGAACTCATAAAAGTTGGAGACAGTAGCACAGCTATCTATAATCCAGTGTTCCTACTGGTGATAGGAGGTACAAACAAGCAAATTCTTGAATGGACATGGGCCAGCTTAACCTGACCTATACAGAAGTGAGTGTCAAGAAAGACCCAATCTCCACCAAGGTGGAGAGCAAGAACTGACACCCAAGGCTGTCCTCTGATCTTCCTATATGTACTGTGACCCACACAAACCCCCAACGCACACATCATACACACAAATCTTTTAAAACACATGAGACCCCAAACCTGTACAGTGAGGACATTTTTAATACTGTATAAAATGTGATATGATGCTTGCCAAGGAAACCAAATGTCAAATTGGAGAAAACACTTTGATTAGGATGTTCAGGCCACTCATTCCTCAGGAGGAAAGTGATCGATCCTAGGGGCAAGAAGAAAGCTGCCCTGTGCCACAGATGCCTCCCTGTCTATAAATCCTCAATCACTTTGTTTTTGTGTCTTTGGCAAAGGGGCCAGAATGGTGATGATAGAAATGGCCAAATACACATTTGTCTTGATCCTGCTAAGTAGTTATTAACATATGTTTGTTGTGGGTTTTGATAGCAAAAACAACCATCTGATGCCAACAGGGGGTGTGCAAATTGAGGAAATTTATAAATAAATCCAGCTTGCTTCTTTTCTTATGCACATTTTAATACACATCTGTTTGGCAGAGAAGCAGTGCTTGGACGGAATATAAAGAGATACTAGAACAACGTGGATGCTTGTGCTGTCTGCTGGTTTGATAAGCAAACGGCAGGAGGTAGACTTCACTGAACTAAGAAGAAAGGACTTGTCTGCAGAAGAGTCAAAAAGAGACGCAAACAGGATGTCTTGACCAGACAGAATTGTAAAACAGCAGCAAGTGTTCTTCAGGGCAACAATAACAACAAAAAAGCCAACAACCTACAAACCAAAGAGAAGTTCTCATCAAGGATGGCAGCCTAGAGATTCTGAACTGGCATTGAGGATCCCCACCTTACACAGCCCTCAATCTGCCAAGGGGCAGAAGGGTCGGTCAACCAATGTTCAGTAAGCTCAAGCCAGCTAACATCCCTTTAGTTTAAGATTCCAACACATCCTAGTTTGCAGCAGCTGTGCCATGTTTAGCACTAGACTACCCCAAACTTTAGAACCAGCCGTTGCTTTTTCCCATCTGAATGGATCAGATGGGCTGAGGACACAGGACACTTGACCATGGGACTTCTCAAGTCCACATACCAAATGAGACACAGAGTCTACTCAATTTGAAGGCTTAACAATAGATCACATTAGTTTTAGTATGTCCCCTTAAAATCTGAGATATACTTATATTCAAATAATGGCTCATCCCCTGAAGCTTTATATGAGATATAGTTGTATTAAAAAGAATGTCTATGTTTATCTGACGGCATCTCTAATCTCTAGCCTTAACATTATTCTTGGTTCCCAATGCTTTGCTTGAAATTTTCACTGAATGTCCCGCAGTGCCTCAATGGGTCTTAAGGACCAGCTATATATCTCTAGTGCTACCCTGAACTCCAATTTCACTTTGTATCACCCCACATCTTTGGCTAGAGAGCTCCTTCCTTCTGTGCCTGGAGCCTCACCTGGTCTATTCGTCATGTTTCTTATCACTGTGGCAAAACACTCAGCAGACATAATTTAAGGGAGAAATACTTCTTTCCTGCCAGCCAGGTCCCCAAAATGGCAAGGCGACTTTTTATTAATTATGAAAGCTTGGCCTTAGCTTAGGATTTTTCCTAACTAGTTTTATAACTTAAAGCCACATTTTTTAAATCCACATTCTTTTACATGGCTTTGTTCCCTTTACTGTCTACCTATCCTGCTTCCTCCGCATTTGGCTAGCCACTCCGCCTTTCTTCTTCCTCCAGCCCTCTCTAGTAATGTCTAGCCTCTTGCTGCCCAGTTATTGGCTATTCAGCTTCTTACACTAATCACACCAATGCATTTTTCACAGAGCGTACAAACATCCTGCAACAACCCTCCACAGTTCTGGACCTGCAGACTCTCACTTCTTTGTAGTGTAAAAACCCATACTCTACATATGTACAGGAAACTCCCCATTTTCACGAACAGGACACAATGTCTGTCACATTTCTCTTCCATAGGCCTCAAATGTTCTTCCTCACCCATCCTATTTAGTTGTACATCATTTTCTGAACAAAATTAGCTTAAAATGTCACAAATACATCAATAGAAGATCCTTCTGGCTCTTTGCACAGGCTTCAGTCAAGCATCACTACCCATTAGCATTATGGTCTGTAGCATTATCTGAAGGTCTTTAAACTGGATGGGGATTTTGAGCTTTGTACATTTTAGACTAGGCAGAGATAAGACATCTTTTTGGGATATGTTTGATAAATGCATTCTGAACATAGGCATGTTGTTTTTAAGACACTTGCCATGTGTGATAACAAACCATGCAAGGCCATCAGCTCCTTGAAAATGCAGACACAGGTGCACATTTTCTAAAGAAAAAGCTTTGAGAAGGGACTGACAAACATGGAGACACCATCTTTTAAGAAACACTGCCCTGCCGGGTGGTGGTGGCACACGCCTTTAATCCCAGCACTCGAGAGGCAGAGGCAGGCAGATTTCTGTGAGTTCGAGGCCAGCCTGGTCTACAAGATCTAGTTCCAGGACAGGCACCAAAGCTACAGAGAAACCCTGTCTCAAAAAACCAAATAAAAAAAAGAAAGAAACACTGCCCTGCAAAGACTCTTGACACCCTAGCTCTGTGCTATATGGGACAGTGAAAGAAAGCGACCCATGATGCCGCTCTGCTCCGGATGGAAATATTAAGGGATAGTGAGATGGTT